GGGCTTTTGCGCAGACTCAGCATCTTCCGGAAAGACTTCAAAGTAATTGTGACGAAATCGGTATTTCTTGAAATCCTCTGCTAACTGTGTGAGCGTCCTGATTTTTTGGTACTTGAATTTCACAGGTGTACTGTTCGTTTTACTCAAAATTTCATTAGCTACCGTGAGTGTACCCATTGGTCTGTCATCCGTCAGCTTTCCCAAGCACCATCTGCAGAAAGTTGGCCAAGAGCAAAACTGTTGGTGCTGCTTTTCAGTGTCGATTTATATGGGCTTAGTGCGTGAAGCTGCATTCTTGCTGCATATTTTTTGTCATCTCTATGCCATTTTTTTAAAAATGTGTTATGTGGGAACAATTTTACAATGTATGCTTTAATACATTAAAGCATAATTCATGCTTGCTGTTTTTTACATGTCAATACGTACAAAAGATAGTGAATAATGGAAGCTAAGAGTAAACAAACACCTGTGAACCCGCCACATCGCAGCACCCTCTTTGTGCCGTCAGGACTGTCCTTCTCCCCCCACTTTCTGCTTTTCTTTAGAGCGTATTCAAATATAGCCTATATATGTGTGCAAAAAAGAAAGTTGTTTAGTTTTGCTCTCTATATAAAAGTGATGTCCTACATTTATATATATTCTAGGATATTCTCTAGTCCATACCAAACTATCCTGAAAATACTCACCCATCCTTCCTGTTTCCTCTGGGGTTTCCTGAAATTTCAAATCCAGCAAGAATTTTGTAATTTGAGTGAGGCAATTACAATGACATAATTAAATGGAATGTCTCCTGAGATCGAAATTTAAAATCACTGAGATAAATTGACTCTTTTTTACAGGTGTATGGGTTGGACTGTGTCCCCCAAAATGATGTGTTTAAGTCCTAACCCTCAGTGCGTTTGACTGTGACCTTATTTAGAAATAGGTACCTTACAGATGTAATCAAGTTCAGATGAAGTCGTCGTACTGAATTACCTCAAAGGGTTAAACCACCACAGATCTTTCACAATTCTGGACGCCAGCAATCTAAGTTTTATGGGGCTGACATCAAGGTGTCAGGAAGACTGGTTTCTCCTGGAGACCCCAGAAGAGAATCTGATCCCTTCCTTTTCGAATTTTTGAAGACTAAATTATATCCCTGGGCTCAAAGGCTCCACCCTCCCCCTTCAAAGCCAGATGCATGACATCTTCTTCCTCCCTGACACTGCTGCTCTCTGTTTCTGTCATCACATGGCCATGGATGAGTCTGTCTCTGTTTTGCTCATTAGTTCAGTTTGTTCATTAGACTCCACATGAGTGAAACCATATGATAGTTGCCTTTCTCTGACTGGCTTACTTCACTCAGCATAATGTTCTCCAGGTCCACCCGTGCTGTAGCAAAGGGTAAAATTTTCTTCTTTTTTTTTTTTTACTGCTGAGTAGTACTCCATTGTGTAAATGTCCCATAGTTGTTTTATCCACTCATCTACTGATGGACACCTAGACTGTTTCCAAATCTTGGCGATTGTAAATAACGTTGCAATGAACATAGGGGTGCATATAGTCTTTCGAGTTGGTGTCTTGGGTTTCTTCGACGAATTGCCAGAAATACAATTGCTGGGTCATAAGGCAGTTCCATTTTTAGTTTTTTGAGGTAACTCCATACTGCTTTCCACAGTGAGTACACCAGTCTGCATTGCCACCAACAGTGCAAAAGGGTTCCCCTTTCTCTACATCCTCACCAGCACTTGTTTTTTATTTATTGATGTTCCCCATTCTGACAGACGTGAGGTGATATCTCATTGTGGTTTTAGTTTGCATTGCTCTCATGATTAGTGACATTGAGCATCTTTTCATATGTCTTTTGGCCATCTGTGTGTCCTCTTTGGAGAAGTGTCCATTCAGTTCCTTTGCCCATTTTTTAATTGGATTGTTTGGGGGTTTTGGTGTCGAATTTTATAAGTTCTTTATAAATTTTGGATAGTAACCTGTTATCAGATGTATCAGTGAATATGTTCTCCCATTCAGTGGGCTGTTTTTTCATTTGTTGATGTTTTCCTTTGCTGTGCAAAAACTTTTGTTTGATATAGCCCCATTTGTTTTATTTTTTTTCTTGTATTTCCCTTGCCTTAGGAGATATATCAGAAAAACATGTTGTTACAAAAAATGTCCAAGATTTTACTACATATATTTTCTTCTAGGATTCTTATGGTTTCAAGTCTAACATTTAAATCTTTAATCCACTTTGAGTTTACTCTTGTGTGTGGCATAAGAAGGTAATCCAGTTTCATTTTTTTGCACACACCTATCCAATTTTCCCAACACCATTTAATGAATAAACTATCTTTAGCCCATTGTATGTTTTTGCTTCCATTATCAAATATTAATTGACTATAAAAGTGTGGTTTATTTCTGGGCTCTCTGTTTTGTTCTATTGATCAATATGTCTGTTTTTATGCCAGTACCATGCTGTTTTGATTAGTATGGCCTGGTAGTGCAGTTTGATATTTGTAAAAAAAAAAATTAAGAAAATAATTCTTAATTATTTTCTTCCTTCACTTGCATTTCAAACTTATACCATTTCAACACACTCTTTCCTTATCAGGGTATAAAGATGCCCATTTTGTCCTATCAAAAAACCTTCCCTAGGACTTACCTTTTTTGTAACTGCCATGAACTATTTTCTTTCACATTTCCTTTTTTTTTCAACATTTCAAAATAAGGGTCCACAGACTTTAGTACATGACCTATTTCTCTAACTTTACCATCTTGTTTTTTAATACATTATACACTGACTCCTGTGTAAATCCTTCTTTGAAACTATTGACCCCAACTATTTTTCTCCTGCCATGTTAGGCCTGTATCCTTGACATCTGTGGTATTCAATAGCTTTGACAATCTTTTCCTATATACAATCGTTTTCCTTATTTTTGGTGATGCTACACATCCTACTCTCTTCTTAACTTTCTGTTCTTTCCCTGGCTCTTACATATGTGATCCCATTTTATCCTAACCTGGATATAGAATTGTTTTTGTGTGTGTGTGTGCCATGCTCATATTTTTTATCATTTTTCCAATTGTTCAAATACAGTTGTCTCCATTTTCCCACCACCACTTTCCCCCACCCCACCCACCCTCACCTCCCACTTTCCGTCATTCCCCCCTTTGTTTTTGTCCATGGCTTCTTTCTTTCCTCTTATCTCCCTCCCTCCTCCCCCAGGTTACTATCAGTTTGTTCATTTCAATGTCTCTGGTTATATTTTGCTTGCTTGTTTATTTTGTTGATTAGTTTCCACTTATAGGTGAGATCATATGGTATTTGTCTTTCACCACCTGGCTTATTTCACTTATCATAATGCTCTCCAGGTCCATCCATGCTGTGGCAAAGGGTGGGAGCTCCTTCTTTCTGCTGCATAGAATTCCATTGTGTAAATGTACCATAGTTTTTTGATCCATTCATTTACTGATGGGCACCTAGGTTGCTTCCAGCATTTGGCTATTGTAAATTGTGCTGCTATGAACATTGGGGTGCATAGGTTCTTTTGGATTAGTGTTTCAGGGTTCTTAGGATATAATCCCAGCAGTGGAATTGCTGGGTCAAAAGGCAGTTTCATTTTTAGTTTCCTGAGGAAATTCCATACTGCTTTCCACAGTGGCTGCACCAGTCTGTATTCCCACCAACAGTGCACTTGGGTTCCCTTTTCTCCACAACCTCACCAACACTTGCTGCATATTGATTTGTTAATGATGACCATTCTGATCGGTGTGAAGTGGTATCTCATTGTGGTTTTAATTTGCATCTCTTTGATGGCTAGTGATGCTGAGCATCCTTTCGTATGTCTCTGGGCTCTTTGTATGTCCTCCTGAGAGGTGTCTGTTCAGGTCCTTTGCCCATTTTTTAATTGGTTTGTCTGTCTTCCTGGAGTGGAGTCACATGAGTTCTTTATCTATTTTGGGGATCACACCCTTGTCCCAGGCATCATTTGCAAATATATTTTCCCATATGGTTGGTTCCCTTTTCATTTAGCCTGTTTTCTTTAGCGGTGTGAACATGGAATTGTTAATGAAGCCTTTATACTCTCTCTCCTCCTCAATTTTTTATCTTCTCAACAAATATAAAGGATACGTGAACAAAAACAAGGGGGGTTGGAAACAGGGGAGAGAAGTGGGGATGGCTAGGGTGGTAGGGAGGGGCGGGGAAAAGGCAGAAAACTACTTGAACAATAAAAATCAAAAGTATTTAATAAAAATGAAATAAAATTAAAAGCTCTGAAAAATAAAAAAAAACATTTTTTATGTTCTCCCTTGGAGTCCTCATCCATTGTTACATCCATGCAAATAATTTCTGTTATTGTATGCCCCTTCTCTCTCTGAAGCCAAATGATACTTTTCCAAGTGGTTGCTGAACAACCTACCGTGCATCAAACCTTGAAAACAAACTAATCTTAACCCTAAAATCTGCCCCATTCCAGTTGTCCCTTTCCCATTATTCTCTTAGACACCCAAAATTTAAATTTTATTATGTCAGGTTTTAACATAATTTTGTTACAGTATGTTACAGCAGAATTTAAGGCCAAATAGACCTGAATTTAGAGCACAACTTTCCTACTTAAATCCTGTATTACTTGGATTGGTATTAAATCTCTGTAAATTTTATTTTGTGTAAAATGGAAACAATACCCACTTTGAAAGGAGGTTATGCTTCATAGAAGCACTTCATCTGGTCCACTGTGCTTTTTCTGGCTTCCACCTTCTCTACCATCAAACATTCAGATACCAAGTCCTATTCTTTCTCTATTCTTCTAACATGCAGACAATTACAGTCGACTCTCAGCATCTCCCTTTGTTCAGTCAGTCTCTCTTACCAAATCCAAACACCACTAGCCAATACTCCCTTCTCTATACACATTACCCAGCTGTCCAAAAACCATCCCAGGCTTCCTGTTCCCTATAGCAGCCTCCTTTTCTTCAGCTCCACAAGGTACACATGCGCAGCACATTCCAACCAATAACACCCCTCATTACACCACATTTTTCTTTAATATTTGTTTTCAGTTACAGTTGACATACAATGTTGTATTAGCTTCAGTTGTACAACATAGTGATTCGACATTGATATAACTTATGAATACACTACATACATTTTCACTTAGCAGCAAGGGAAATGGAAAATCCGAATCTCTCAGGGTGGGAGATTGTTACAAACTGAATATTGGTGCCCCCCCAAAATGATGTTGAAATCCTAACCTCCAATGTAATGGTAGTTGGAGTTGGGAATTTGGGGTTAAGTCACGAGGGTAAAACCCTCATGAATGAGATAATTGCCCTTATAAGAGACCCCAGAGCATTCCCCCCACCTGAAACCACTGCTTCAGCCATGTAAAACCACAGCAACAGGACTGGCAACTATGAACCAGGAGGCAGGCTCTCACCAGACACCAAATCTGTTGGTGCCTTGATCTTGGACTTCCCAGCCTTCAGAGCTCTGAAAAATAAATTTCTGTTGTTTGTAAGTCACCCAGTCTTTGTTATCCTCTTATAACAACCTAAATGGACTGAGGCAGAACAGTAGAAGGATCCGTATGGATGGTGTCCAAAAAATGTACATCTATTAGTTGTTATTTGCATTATCTGACCTTTGTAACTAATGCCCAAAGCTATCTCTTTGTAAATTAAATAAATGTTACACTTGAAAAGTTGTGAGTTTTTTCCCTAATCATTTCATTAAACAACTGGCAGAAAGGGAGCCAGACATCAAAGGAAACATCAGTTTTGCTGATACAGCTGTTATCTTTTAATCAATTAAATGGTTCTTATCACTCTTTGGAAGTGAAAAAGTAACATCAAAACTTATATAACTTGCAAAGATATGCATCATTTTTTCCCTTCGATCCTCTCTCCCTTTCTTCTAATAAGCAGTTTTTGAAGGTCTGGTATGGAATATACCTGGTATAGAAAAACCACACAGTAAAAATCTCTGCTCTCATGGGAGCTCCAGTTTTGATGAGGAAAACAACAAAATAAGTAAAATATACTGAATTTGGGTGATAATTAGGGCCATGCCATATATAAAACAAGAAAGGTGAATAAAAGTGTTCCAGATGGGAACAATTATAAATAAGGTGGTCAGGGAAGGTTTTATTAAGAAGGTAACATTTTATCAAAGTTCTAATATTTCTGTGGGAAAGTGTCCCGGGTACAGGGAACAGCAGGTAAAGAAGTGGAGCCTTCATTATGCACTTTCAGGGAATGCATAGCCAAGACAGCAGTTGGGATAAAACAAGGAGAGGGAGGGAGGAAACAGCCCAACTGCCTAGGTCAGAGAAGTAACAATGTGTGTAAGTGGGAAGTGGGTGCTGAATGACGTTCCAATAATCTCAGTGCAGTCATGGTTAGAATATTCGGTAGTTTAATCTGAGAGTAACTCAACATCTTCTATTGACTTAAAATTCTAGCTGGTTCTATTGACTTTTCAATGCCTATTTATCTGCAGTAATGCCAATTATAATATACTAGCTTTTCATTTCTTAACTTGTACGGAGCAAACAAATCTGTACAGACCTTAAAGTCATTTATATTGCAAGATATATAATTTTTGTCCTGTCAAAATATTTTGGAACCCAGAATTTGACAGCAAATATGTTAAATCTTTTTAAACAAATAACCTGAAAGAAATGAAGATATTAACAGGGGAAATAGTAAATTTATTATTTTATTAAAGTATATCAATACCTAGAAACAATAAAGGATACATTATAAATATGGATACAAAACATGTCAAGCTTCACTTATAATTGAAAAGTTTGTTAAAGTATATCGGTGGAAACAACCATAAATTTGTTAACTATAAATGCCACTGCATATATTACAAGAATATAAAACTTTAAAGCCTTCTGGTTTAAATTCTTAAATAACTACACAGTGACTAAATATGTTCAGGATCCTTTGGGCAGAAAAATCAACTATTTACAGTTACCTGACAAAACTAAATAATTCATTGTACTACATTTCTGTTATTTTAAAATGTATGTGGCTTTGCTTATAAAGGTATCAATTCACTGAGTTAACTCACTAAGATTTTACAACAATACTCTGATTTTTACCTGTTACTTTCAAGAATCTTTGGAGAAATTACCTTTGAGGGGGATTTGCTATATACAGTTGAACCATTTATACTACTAATAATCAGGTGACAAATTCAGAAGGTTTCCCCATCACCAGTGAAATTATCAATCAGAATGGAAATATGTACCCTAGGTTACACAATACATATTCATACTACATGAATGTGGTATATTCATACATTTCAGTCAAGGTTCAATAGGGAAGAAGTTATGCACAAGTAAAATTGCAATGATGATTTTAAATACTACACTCCATTTTCCCTGAAATCTTTGAGTTAATATAAGGGTCTAAATTTTATCCAAAAGAATCTAAGAAAAAGATTTCTTCAGTTTTCAAAAATTTAAATATTTCTTGGTTTTCAATACAAAGTATATGTCATCATCACATGCCTATATTAAAGCATAAAGTTATCAAAATGTTTTTAAAATATGAACCTCAAATAAATAGAATTGTATCATATTTTCCAGTCTTTTTCCTGATCATCTTTCTCAGGTTGCTAGGAAGGCTTTATATTTTATTTCTTTTTAATGTTTAAAAACAAAAGATATTTTCATTTCCTCCTTCTTTTGAAAAATTGTAGAAATATCTACTTTAACATAGAGGTAAAAACTCCTTGAAATATTTTCCTTCTTTCTCAAAACAGACCTATATTTGGTATATATTTTTATTTATAATATGTGAGATAAAGAATCATAATGATAAAATTCCTTTTTATAAATAACCAGGTAGGACAGAGTGACTTACATCCATAGGAAACGCAATAAATATACTATATATTCATATATATGACCCATCATTGCCTTATATAGTATCCCTAATTTAAATGACTGAATTACATTTGTTGATCTATTTTAGATATAGCACACTACTATCATTTCAGATAAAATAAAATAGATGCTCAAAGTATTTCTGTAGGTGATACAGAGTATACGAGCTTGCACCATAACCAGAAAACTACAGGCAATACCTGAGCATACAAAATACAGACATAAGTAACATACTATCCATTATGAACAAGTTCTATTCAAGGCTTCAAATTTAATGGCTGATAACAGCACCTAGCAAAAGAAAATGTATTTAAATAAATGTTTTTACATTAATGGAAAAGGTTCACCCTGAAAATGCTCGGCAATACTGACTATGGAGACATTATACATCAACCTCATATTTAAGATGATTCTATCTGTCTTTGTTGGCTTCAGAAAAGTCACTGTAGGTTGATTACATTTATACTGCCCAACAGAAACAAAGTTCATAGTTTTGCATGTGATGGCATCTTGTCAAGCTATAAGTGATCTCAAGACATAATTTACACTAATCACTTCTACATTTTTTGTCCCTGACAGCATAAGAAAGCCTGCTTCCTCAAATACACAGATGCACTCAGTGTGCACTTTCTTACATATGGGAATACACTAGATTATGTATTTAAGAAGAGCTGACTTTCTTAATAATATCCCAATGGCAACAATACTTTCTAAGTCATAAAAGGTTACTTGAAAGCTATTAAATAAATCCTATCATAATTATTATATTAATTTTAAGTGCACTTTATTTTGAATAAGTCAAAAAATACCTTTAAGCAAATTTATAGAGTTCAGCCTTGCCTATATGGAGACTTAATATTTCATTTTTATTTTTATTTATTTTATTCTTTTATTATTGTTTATGCTGTTACAGTTGTCCCAATTTTTTCCCCTTTCCCCCCCTCTGCCCAGACCATTCCCCTGGAGACTTAATATTTTAAAAAGAAACTATTCAAGGCCTCTGGCCAGAGATAAATTGTAAATAATTTTAGGCTTTCCAACAATGTATTTAAAATTCCTTACAAAACCATAACCCTTCTTTCCTTAAAAATATGTTCTCTAATAGAATATTGAACTTAAAAACAGATCATTTAACAAGTCATATCTAAAAAACAATCATTCAGTATAAAAGATTTTTCCACAGATCCAAGAAGATCATAAAATTATGCCATGGGACCCAAAAACACAATGCTAGGAGCCCAGGATAAAAAGCAGACAGTGTTAGAGACTAGCTTCACCTAATTAAAGCACCATAAGCTCATAATAATGTCAGGGAGAAAAATCTACACAAGAACTTAAAATATAAATCCAGGGAGTATAATTAAATTTAAAAATCAAAATGAAAAGTGAGTACATTTTCATAAAAGGAGATAAAAACTTTGTGAATATTGTAACCACTACATAAATATTGTATGAACCTTCACATTTTGGTTACCTCTTTTGGAAAGTTTAAAGTATTGGTTTTTAATCTTAAATTATTTACAAAGAAATTTATCTCCCTCTGAAATGGTAAGTCAAGTAGCATTTCAAGTTTTTTCCTTCACGGATACAGTTGCTGGAATAGAAAAGTACCAAACGTCTTAATCAACTGATTTAAGCTTTCCGTGTTCTAACACAGATTTTAAATTTAAACATTTTTTCTTCTACATAATCACTTTTGGGAATACACTGTTTTTCTCCCTTAGCAAATCAAAGAAGCATTTAATCACACATTATAATATCAAAGAAAATAATGTAATTTTAAAAATTATTTATAGACTATCTCAGGACAATCAACTGACTCCATTTTCACTTGGAAAAAAAACAAGAAAAAGGAAGTTTTTATTACTATACTCTATAAAAAAAAGAGAAAGTTGGTTATAGAGGCCAACTCAGACATTATTTGTCCATCATCCACTAGTGTAACTCATGAACTGTTGTCCCCTTCTAATTCCTGTATTTTGTCACACTCATTGCTTTCTTTGCCCTCTTGATATGTACGAAGCTGCTCCATGAAACCAGCATTTGGACATATGGAAGGCCTTGCAATTTTCACCAAAGAAAAAGCGCTGTTAAATGAGATTTCTTCAGAATTCATCAAGAAGCCTATTACGATTGCAGCTGCCCTGGAAACCCCTGCATTACAATGAACAAGAACCACTCCATCCTGCAATAAAATCAAACAAAACTCTTCATTACTCTTTTAAGAAAGGTTATTAACTCGATTGTACCATCTTATACTCATACAAATTATAAAATAAAAATAAAATTCATTCTATCGATTATTCACTCTTCAAATACAGTTCATTGTAAGGAAAAAATGGAAAAACCAATCATTCGATGGACTAATACCTCCTCTTTTCACCTCCCAAGATTGAAGTGCTGTGATGGTGGATTTGTAATTCTGAAACAGTATCTTTTGTTAAACTGAAGTAATCTAGTAAAGTATACATAAAGACATAATAACTTGGCCACATGTCTATAAATAAGAGAGAAATTACAGGAAATATAAGTGGAAATGTGAAGAAAACCATAATCATAAACTAAACAGAAAGCCTGAGACATTCTATGTACACATAGTGTTCCTATAAAGCTAGTGTTATTAGCATGGAAATCTGGGTGTAAAATGATCAGGAAAGACAAAATTCCCTTCTCTTAGGTACATTCTGGAGGGAAGTACCTTAAAAAATAGTTAAACTTATCAGGTAGTAAATGATGACACAAATAGCTTACAAAAATGTGAAGTGGAAAAAGTAATTAGACACCAGCATGAGGTCAATAAATGAATAACGTTTCAGGTAACTTGAAAATGATACTTTACAAGTGAAAAGGAACACACTGTAAGACCAATGCTGATGGGGTAATATTGCATTAATAATGAATGTGATAGATCTGATGGAACACCATCGATACAGGTTGGCTTATTTCAGGCTTTTAAAAAGTTAATGATCTGAATGAAATGGAGTGAGCTGTGAGCACACACTGTGGAACTAAACATTTTAGTTACTTCATTTCCTGATTCTTCTTTTGGTACAACACAAAAGAAAGATCGAAACAGAGGAAGGGGAAAACAACAAAACTTAGAACTAAAGACTCTCTACCCAAAGCACATATTAGCAACACTGTGTTTATAGTTCATTGGATTATTTTACTTTTGCAAGGCAGTTTTCCCAGATTCATAAATCTGTTGCAAAAATCCTTTTCCAGATCTGTTGTAACAAATTTTCAAGTGCATCTCATTTCAAAAATGTCAAAGAATCCACAACAAAATTATCCTCATATTAAAAAGATAATTTCAATTGTTTTCATATATATATGGAGGTTAGGATCCCAATATAAAACATAAGGCCTGACAAATTAGGGCATGCCGTGGAATTCTAATACAACTTGCAGCAGAAATGTTTTACGCGCCTCCTCAGAGTGTCTTGGTACCATCATCTCATGCACCCTAAACGGGCTCCACCTCAGCCATCACCTCTATGCCCAACTGCTCCTTTTAGGCCTATTGAGTTTTGCTTCCTTACAAAGTCCTGGCTCTTTCCCAGTAGCGGTCTCTGCATAGACAAGAGTTCTGGATTCCCTTGCTGCTCCTGAACTTGGATGGAAAGTAACACCACAGGGCATTGGGTTTGGCTTCAAGGTGGCTGCTGAAGCAGTCAAGTGCTGTACCCTGGAATTGTGGGGCTCAATTCCACAATTGTTGTGGAATTCAAAATTTCACAAAGTGTTGTGGGAAATAGTTATTTCCCTGTGGGTAAACTTTGACCAATGGGGAACAGGAGCCGACACACAGCCAGTCAGATAAATTCTCTCTTCCCTCCCTCCCAAATTCCATATGGAGGTTTCCTTGTATTCCCTGCCCAGAGGTATTCTGGGTGGTAGGGAAGGTGCATCCAGCTATGTCACTGTCAGTTCACTGTGAAGTTGTACTCAGCAGGGCCAACATATCACCTTATGTTGCTTCTCATCCTTCTCTGAATCACTTCCTCCCCCTCTCACTGCCTGGCAATTGCACCTCTCAAATGAAGCATCAGCTCTTAATCTTTGTCTCAGGTTCTGTTTTTCAGGAAATCCAAGCAAAGGACCATTTTCATTAACTATCACTCTTTCCACTTTTGACCTACAACATGTACATACCTTCTAATGTTAAATATGAATATGAATGCTGTCTATACTTTACCATCTTAAGGCATATTCTATCTCTCCATAGAGAAATAGCTAATACAGGGACATTGTCATTTTTATTTTTAACTTTAATTACTGGTACCTGGGAATGTTACAATCTAGAGCCTATTAAATTTTTCACAGAAGAAAAAACTGGCAAATACTAGGTTCTGACTTAGAAAACCTTTTCTCTCATCCAAATATCTGCTATTGAATAAAGCTGAATGGTAAGGTTGAATAGTTTTATATTCTCAGTGTAATCTAGAAAAGGCACCTTGAGCAGTGCTGGGCACATACAGCACTCAATAAATATCACTAAATAGGAGGAAGAGAGGAGAAGGAAGGAAGGGGAGGAGAAAAGGCAGAAGGGAGATCATTAAACAGAATTCAATTAAACTGGATTCTAACATTAACTGTCAGTAATTGTTAGGTGTTCCCGGAGAGTTAACTTTTCTCTGTAAGTGCTTCTACATTCCCATCTATTTATCTCCCATAAATTTGGGAAGATTTACATTATGATTTGAAATGATGTCATTTCAAGGTATAATTACGGCTAGTGGCCAAACTAGAAGCCCAGTGTGTCAGTGTGTTGACTTGGATCCAGTACCAAGATCCAAATATTACACTGTCAGTCTTCTAAAGTCAGAAAACCCAATGGACAGTTTCTTATCAGCATTTTCATACAATCTCAGTAAAGCAATACCCATTTAGTCCTTAGAGCACCCTAAAATTCTATTATTAAAAATGCACAGATTTAGCCCTGGCTAGTGTGGCTCAGGATTGAGCGCTGGCCTGTGAACCAGAGGGTCACCAGTCAGGAAACATGCCTGGGTTGCAGGCCAAGTCCCCAGTAGGGCACAAGCGAGAGGCAACTACACATTAATGTTTCTCTCACTCTCTTTCTCCCTTCCTTCCTGTCTAAAAATAAATAAATAAAATCTTTAAAAAATGCACAAATTCACAGTCCCTACCTCCTCAGCCACAACAATAAAGGCATATTAATCTTCACAAATGCATTAATAGGACTACAGCAACATCTACCTTATAGTCCAGTTGATTACCTTGCAAACTGGTCAATGGACAAGTGGTTATAAACTATCAAAGGAAATCTAAGTATATAGGCACAGGAAAAGGGAAAATTAATTTGAAAAATAAATATCTCATTGAGAAAAGAGCAATTAAAGAACTAAATAGTAGAAAACTGTACTTGAACAATGATTAAAATAAAAAAATAGAAAAAAAACTTTAAAAAATAACTAAATAGTTGTAGGAATTAATAAAATATTGTTGGAGGAGAAATTTATTAATAGTGCTCTACATATTCATTACAAAAAGAATAAAGATTGGATAACGGACTCATTTTTAAATTTCTGCTTTTGAAGAACTATGGATCAAAATAAAACTTACCTTCATTTTTGCTTGTTCAATAAATTCAAAACATTCTGGAAAATAAGACAGGATATTGGCTTCAGGCAGATCCAGGATAGAAATGTTTTTATATATAAAGTCACTGAGGAAGGCATTTTCAACTCCATATGCAACATTGAGAATGTGAGTCACCTTAAAGAGAGAAAGATGATTTTTTTAAAAATTCTCTTGAATTAGGTTAATTAAAAAGAGGATGGGATGTTGAGATCTGTAACAAGAATAACGAATTTAAGCATGACCAACTTGAAAATACTTCCTCAAGAAAGCCTTATCTGACTGCCTCGTCTGTCACTAAGGTGCCTTATTTTCCCATACACTTGTCCTATTATACCCCTTACCACTTACAGATTATGTCCTTCACTGTGTTAGAAACTCCACGAGGGCAGAGACCATGTTTAGCTCACTATTATAAGTAAGCATTATGAATGAGCAATGTGAATGAGCAGTGACGTTGGCACAGAAAGTACTTAAAATATTTGTTGAATAAATCAATGAATGTCCATATGAAAAATTTAACCAAGGGAAGTGCATCAGCAGCACAAACTTCCCTTCATAAAGAAATAATTATTTCTTCTTCATAAGCACATGGTTCTCCAGAGTGGCTGCACATTCTAATGACCTGGTGAGCTTTTTAAAAAGTATCAGTGCCACTGGGCCTCAAACTCAGAGGCTATGATGAATTAACGTGCATGAAAGATGAGATGGTCATGAAAGAATTTCTTTCAAATGGTACACATAGCAACCTCCTATTCCATGTATGCATCTGAGCCCCTTTCCTGGAGCCCACCAGGCATATGGAAGAAGCTGTGGGAAGTCCACTGAGAGGATCCAAAAGCTAAATAGACTAGAAAAATGAATCACTGTTTCTTGTCATAACATGCTTCTCACTGTATTTATTCTTTCTTAGAGTGCATCTTCTTTTGTTTTTTGGTGTTTTTTTTTCCATCTTAGGTTTTTGCCTGATCTCCGTATTTTCATGTATTCTCCACATATTGCAGAGGATTTGTCCAGTCCTGACTACCCGCCCAGGTATGGCTCTGGAAGCGCCCCATGCCTCCCTTCAGCACAGCTGGACTGGATTCTACTGGACACATGACTAAAGCTAGGCTGATCAGATTATTAGAATGATCTGCAAATTTGAGAAATATAAGACAGCTATTTTCTCTTAAGTGCTCAGGGAAGCTAAAAATTCCTGCTTTAAAGGAGAAGAGCAGAGTAGATACACGGACAGGGCCATGATGCCAGTGGAGAGAGTAGCCATCTAGAGATGGCCTTATATTTTCTGGCATGGCCATGCTCTGTCCTTGAGTTCCAGAGACCCCCTAAATCATCACATACATTCTCTTCCTTTCTTAGGTTTCTGTGGTTCACAACCAAAAGAATATTAAGACACTCAGGGAGCAAGGCTTCACATAGGGAGAACCATAGGCCATTTATTGACCCAACTGTCTTGTGGAAGACCTTAAACATTCAATCCAGAGAAACTCTCAAATAGAGAGGTGATGGGAAAAACTAGAAAGAAGGTAGGACATTTTTAGAAAATAGAGTCGGAAATGTCCTTCTGCTTTACTCTCTCACTACCAGTGTCCTCCTGGCCAGGATCATATGATTCTGCCCTTAATTACATAATATCTTCAATATTTTATAATATTGATGTGTTTGCTTTCTCTTTACAACTATATTCTATATTCCCAAAAGACCAGAAATGAGGTCTGACAACTTCCAAAAAACATATGTATACAAAATATGTATGTACATATTGTATATTACATTTATATTATAGATATCATTACCTATATATCTTGCCTATACATCACAGGATTATGGAGGAGGACAAATGAGAATCTTGGGAAAACCTGTTGAAAGGTAAAAGTGCATTACAAATATTGTGGATTAATAAGCCAATGCCTAGGTAGTTTAGCTGTTTGGAGATGCAATTTTTATGTATATTGATTGAATGAGCTTGACTGAAAAGAATAGTACTGAGCCACAGGTGGTGGTGCTGAAAGGGACACAGCCTAAAACCCTTCTAGTCATCAAGCACACTTCCAAAACATACTTACAGAGGTCCTAACAGTGGTTGCCTTTGGAATGCCCTTTATGATAGAAACAGTGAGAACAGCCCCTTTATTAAGTACTTATTATATGCTAGGCATACAATTTATCTCAATCTTCATATTTATTATTTCCAACTTCAATGAAATTTAATTTTGAACTGGTTCAAATATAAAACATTACGAAAAGAAGCATTAAGAATTCCTGCTTTCACCCTGCCTCTCCCCACTCCACTACTTCCCACACCAGTGACAACCACAACCTCCTCTGTTGGTTTCTGGCACATTCTTTGTAGTATCTTTTTGTAAATGCTTTACTCACTCCCTTCTGACACAAAGGCAATGCCTTGTCCCATTCAGATATGTCCTAGGGCTCTTTTCATACCAATCTTTAAAGACCCCTTTCTTGTATTCCTTTTATAGCTAGTTGGTATTCTATGATGCGGGTGCACTATTGTAAGTGTAACCAATTTCCTATTGATGGACACATGGTTTGTTTTCGATAATGTGCTATTATAAATAATTCTGCAATAAATAGCTTGGAATATTTTTTATGTTCCACTCAGTTTTCTATCCTCCATAGGGCTTTATCTGACAAACACTAGGCACTGAAGAAGTATCTTATTAATAAAGCAACCATCATTACCACATCTAAACATTAATATTCCTATAGAAATTTCTGAAGTGATCCTCCACAAGAGAATTTCTCCTAGTTACAGCATTTTACTTAAATGTTAGGATATCCCTTTGAAATGTGTTATGTATTTAAATCAGTAAGTTTGTTTTGCAGCATCCTTAAATTTCTGTAGAAACATTCTATTCAGCTGCTCAGTTTACCTCCACTTCCAGCCATTTAACGGGTCATGTGCACAGAAACAGGGAAAGATCTTTCAAACAGCTACTTGGTTGACATCACCAGAATGAAACCAGAATTGAACTAGTATACCATAAGACGGGATAAATAATAATACTTGCCAGTGAACAAATTTATTAGTTTTCCTATTTTTCATTTTTACCCTGATTAATTATTCCTTATTCTGAGGAATTATTATAACAAAATGAGTCCAGTTTAAACACAAGTTGACAAATAAACATATTGAATTACTTAATGAATTGGTTAGTAGTTATTTCCCTGTGGAAATTAATTGCAACTGTTTATCACAAAATTTTTAGCCTCAGTTCAATTTTTTATTCTCAAAGCTGGGGGCAACAAAAATAAGTAAGACAAGGTCTCTATCTTTTAGAAGTTTGCTGAATAATAGAGGGGGAAAACGTGTTTACTGAGGATGATATTGTAATACAAAGCAGAGAGGTGTGAAGAGCTGTAGGAGAACTAAGTGTTACAGGCCAGAAGGGAGGAACAGATTACTTCACCTGCTCCCCACTATGGACTTTCCCATTTGCTGTTCTCTCAGCCTGAAGTCTGCTTGTCCTGATCTAAGCAAGCATGGCTGACTCTGTCATCAGTTCCCAGCTGAAATGTAATATCCTTGGAAAGGCCTCCCCTGACTCATGTTGCCACCCCCAACTCCTCCAACTGCCTTGTTTGATTTCTTTCAGAGAATGTATTCTCATCTCAAAGTATCATATTCTAAGAGCAAGGACCTTACTCCTTGTTCATTCCTATATCTCCTGAACCTAGAAAGGTGCCTAGCACTCATTTACCTCATGGGTGAGAGGTAGGGTGGCATCCTTTTGGCTACTCCCTGCCTTCTTGCCTGTTCAAATCATTTCTGTTTCACCCTCAGGTAACAATTCTTGCTTTTTGAAGTTAATCCAAACTGCCTGTATTTTGGGGGGTACTCGACATTCAGTTGGCTGAATCCTCTCTCAAGTCCTACCATTACCCTGGGTGATAGCAATTTCCACTTGGGTTTAACAGTCTCCAATGACTTTCCTCAGCACTCCACTTCCATCACACTCCTTCAAGGCCAGCACCCAAAAGCGCTCCAGGTCTGATATAATAAATTCAAACAGCTCTTTTATTCAGTTACTCCCATCAAACCTCACAAGAAACATCAACTCCACGATCTTTTGATTTCTTTTTATCCATTGGCCCCCTCTTGCCTTTATTTCCTTTTTTATTTAGCTGACAGTCTATGGCCCACCTCCCCTGCACCTGTCTGGTAAAAGTTGACTGTACACCCAGACTGCTAAGCATTGCTGGAGAAAAGTTGCACAATATTGCAGACCATAAATTTATGACAGCCAATCTCATAAATGCTTAGCAACTGTATTTCCTTAGTAGGTTCTCTCCTTTACTCCCTATCAGCTTTTTCAAACTTCCCCACTCTCCTAATAACATTCAACACTACTATCTCTTCCTTACTCCAGCAGATCACCTCACTTACTACTTTAGTATAAAGAGAAGCCATCACATAGGAACGTTTACATTTACCATCAAATTTAACAACCTTGACGACACCTGCACCCACATTTTTTCTTCTATCTTCTTACTACAATGGATGATGTCGTCCTGCATTCTTTATGAGGCTCATTCTGGCATCTGTCTTTTGGATCAACCTGACTACTACTTTTGTGGCACATCCCTCTGGCCATAGTTCTTGCTCTATTTTTAATTCCTTCCTCTACCACCAGCTCTAAAGCATGCTCAAAACTAAAATATCCCATCTCTCTCCCTTGGCTGTTCCCATTCTCCTTTCCTTTTTTTTTTTTTCCTCTGCCATCATTTCTTCCATTTCTCAGTCACCTGGTTGCTGGCTTTAGTGTCCAATTCAAATGAAACTTCCCACCCAAATCACTAATAACTTCTTTGTTGCAAAATCAAATGGATGAATTTAGTGCTAATTGTACTTAAACTTCTGGCAACATCTGACTCTGCTGACTTTCTCCTCCTTAAACTCTAGCCTTCTTTGGCTCCCTTGACACCACATTTTTTTGACTTTCCTATGACCTCTTAACTATACCATTCTGGTGGCAAATTCTTCTTCCTTTGACTATTTCTTAGAGTTTGGTGTTACCCAGGGTTCTGTTGTAGGCATTCTTCTCTGTTTACTTCACACCTTTCTGCAGGTGATCTTATCTATTCTAAAGATTCTAATCACTGCTTATATGCCAGAAGGTTCCTAAATTTATATTTTTACCTCACCTGAACTTCAGACCCCATACATCAACACTGTCTACTGAATAACCTAATCTAGATTATCCATAGCATCTGAAATGAAAAATGTTCAAAACTGAGCTCATTCTTTTTTGTCCAAAACCTGCTTCTCTCTATCTCATGGAATGGTACCAACCTTATTTAGTTACCCAAGAAAGCTGGCCATCAGCTTTGACTCCTCCTCCCTCAAACTTGCTCTCCCCTCACCCTGATTTGTAGATAATGGTTAAATTGTGAGGATTCCGCCCTCTTAAAAAAAAAAAACAACCTCATCAATTTATCTTTATCGCTGCTGAATCCTAATATAAGCCACTATCATCTGTTTTTGTTTTTGTTTTTTAGATTACTGCAACAGTCTCTAGTCTCCCATCTCTAGCTTGAAGATCCCTCCAATCTATTTTCCAAACTGCCTCTAGTGAACAGTATTTCTAAAATGCAAATTTGGTCCCTGGGTAAAACCTTTCAGTGGCTTTCCACTGTCTTTTGGGCCAAATCCAAATACTTTACTCTGGCTTACATAGACTTTTGTGATCTGGCTCATGCTTACCTCTGGCCTGTCTCTTGGTGCCATTCTTTCTCACACTATCTATATCAAGGTTACTGAACTTCTTTTTCTATCCCTGAAAACTTCAACCTTTCTCTTGCCCATGGGTCCTTACACAAACTGTTTCTTCTATACTCATATGCTCCCTCCCCACCCACTTTTCTATCTGCTTCCTCTCCACGCCCTTCCAGAGCAAAATTTCAACATCACTTCCTCCAGGAAGAATTCCGTCCTTCCTATCCCTGGCCCAACCTGACCCAACCCAAAGCAAATATAGTTAAGAGCATTATCTCCTGTGCACTCCAGCAGCAATCTGCACTTCCTCATCAAAGCACACAGTGCACTGTTTGTCTTTCACCCTGCCCTGCCTCTCAAATCATCAGTGTCATGTGAACAAGAACCTCTTGCCTTCCTCAAACCATAGCAATTCCATGACTCTGAAATAGCATTTATCAAAATAGTAGATGGCTAGAAAAAAATTTTGAGTATATACTGAAATAAGTAATAAATCACATCAGCCCTGGCTGGTGTGGCTCAGTAGACTGAGTGCCAGCTTGCTTACTTACCAAAGGATTGCCAATTTGATTCCCAGTAGGGGCACATGCCTGGGTTGCAGGTCAGGTCCCCAGTAGGGGCGCTCAAGAGGCAACCACACACTGCTGTTTCTCGCCCCCTCTTTCTCCCTCCGTTCCCCTCTATCTAAAAATAAATAAATAGCCCTGGCTGGTGTAGCTCAGTGGATTGAGCACAGGCTGTGAACCAAAGCATCGCAGGTTCAATTCCTAGTCAGGGCACATACCTGGGTTGCAGGCCACGGCCCCCCTCAACCGCACATTGTTGTTTCTCTCTCTCCCTTTCTCCCTCCCTTCCCTCTCTAAAAATAAATAAATAAAATCTTTAAAATAAATAAATAAATAAATCTCCCTGGCTGGTGTGGCTCAGTGGATTGAGTGCTGGCCTGTGAACCAGGGGGTTGCCAGTTTGATTCCCAGTCAGGGCACATGCCTGAGTTGTGGAACAGGTCCCCAGTGGGAGGTGCATGAGAGACAACCACACTTTGATGTTTCCCTCTCTTCCCCTGTCTCTAAAAATAAATAAATAGATAAAACCTTTAAAATACATACATATATACATAGAATCTTTAAAAATAGTAATAATAATAAATTGCATCAGTTGTATGGGGGAGCATGGGAGGAAATGGCATTGGGGAAGAAGTGGTATACAAGTTAGGACTCAAGGCCTGGGTAGGTCTTAGTCAAGAAGAGGGGAAAAATCTTTACCACACTGAGGAACTACACAAGCAGAGGCAAGAATATGTGCTTCCAAAGCCAGGTTCAAGAGGGTATGTGAAAGAAGATTGAGAAAATTTAAAACTGGAAACATGGATTACAAATCCATATATTTGAATTAGGAGTAATAATTTTTGCAACTTAATGAAAATGACAGGCAAAAATGTTACCAATTAAACTCTAAAATGGACCAAAACAGTTTTTCCTAAATAAATGTAACATTTAATAAATGTAACTTTCTCTATGTGGTACTAGACCTGAAACATTTGTTTTACCTTGTGCTTTTTCAGTGTATCCAGATCATGAGCAGCATCTTGTGAGCCTATAAGAAATAAATCATATCACCTTGAACGTAAAAATAATCATCCTGACATTTTATCCAATGTTTGCAACAATTCTGTTAGTTTTTCATTTAAGAAATACAACTTGGGAGGACTTCATTCTAACTTTCTGAAAGACAGTGTGGTAATAATTATAAAAATATTCATATTGTATATACTCTTAGACTGTGATATCCCACTTTTAGGAATTTGTCTTAAATGTTCTGGATGTTACAAAGATCAGCTATCAGGATGTTTATTATAGTATATTTGTAATACCAGAAAAATAAAACAACCACCTAATAATAGGTTGTTTTTAATCTTATTAAAAAACAAAGCGCAATAATAAGTGTTGGGTTCAATAAAAGATGGTCCAATTGTGTAGTGAAATATATAGATATTAGAAGTGACCTATGTAGAGGAATATTTAGGGTATGGAAACACATTAGGTGATAAAAGCAGGTTACAAAATACCACTATCCATTGTTGTAATAAAAAAAAATGCATATGCTTAAATTGGACAGGAAACATAGAACAAAATGTTAGTGTGATTACAGGTGATTTTTTTCATGCTCATTTGTAATTTTTACAATAAATATTTGTTTTGAAACTTAAAAAAGGATATTTTTAAAAAGACAGTACCAGCTGGTTTGGGAACACCAAAACAGACTTAGTACCAGCTTGTTTGGGAACACCCAGTAGATTTAAGCAAACACTGTTGGTCTGTAGAATTCCACCCACATGCTGTGCACCACCAGGGCTGTATCCTTTTACAGTTTCTGTCAAAGTTGGCTTTCCAGATTTCTCACGCTTGGAAGCTGACTCTAAATAATAAGCAAGCTCTTACAAGTGAATAACTAGTTAAAATAAAGTGAATTATACAATTGGAAAAATAGGATATTAATTATTCAAGTATTTTACTCTCCTGAATTAGGTTCTATTTCCATAAATAATGTTCTTCTTACCTTAGCTATCTGGGAAATCTGCCAACTTCTATGACATGATTTTAGGTAGCTGAAAAGCCAGTGTGCTGGTTGGTCAATATTCTCTTGGTAATACAAAGCTCACAGACTCCTCACTGAGCTTACATTCAACTTTATTCTGCCCAAAAGTTAGCCTATCAAAATATTACCATTTGTTAAAGTTGAATGGTGGACACATAGTTGTCTGTTATAGTATTGTCTGGAATTTTCTATGCATTTGAAATACTGCATAATTTAATTTTATTTTAAATATTTGTTTATTTTTAGAAAAAGGGAAGTGAAGGAGAAAGAGATGGAGAGAAACATCAACGTGAGAGAGAAACATTGATGGGTTGCCTCTCCTATGCACCCCAATAGGGGGTCAAACCCACAACCCAGGTATGTGCCCTGAATAAGAATCAAACCAGCGACCTTTCACTTTGTGGGGGGCTATACCCAACCAACTGAGCCACACCAGTCAGGGCAATACTCCAAAAATTTAAAAAGTTTCTCAATTTTCTATCAAAAGTCCTAAACACCTGGGGCAGGTGAGGAATTGGATCAAAAGACTTAATCGGAATTTGGTGATTTAATATGCACTCATCTTTTAAATAACAATTCTACTCTTACTAGTCCTGAAAATAAAAAGAAAAATCTATTAATGAAATCCTTTCCTTTATCCTACCAGGGGTGTCCAACCTGCAGCCTGCTGGCCACATGCAGCCCAGGATGGCTATGAATGCGGCCCAACACAAAATCATAAATTTACTTGAAACATTATGAGATTTTTATGTGATTGCATTGCAATGTGTTTAATGTGTGGCCCAAGACAACTCTTCTTCTTCCAGTGTGGCCCAGAGACACCAATAGTTTGGACACCCCTGCAACCGTTATTATACTTTGACCATTTCCATTAAACACATACATACACACATGCCAAAAGAACAGGTCTATTATATTCCGGAGTTAGCTGCAATATTTTGAAAGTGACTTCCAGAGTATGAGTATGTTGATAAAAATTTAATATTCTTGAAACCAAAAAATGCAACTTGTATGCTCTGTCTTTTTAAGCAATAAAATTATAGAGTGTTAATAGTATAGAGGAACAAAATTTTAGTCAACACAAATGAACTTCAGGTAATCAGTTTGTGTTTTATCTAATACTTAGTAGTATTCAGTTCGGTTAATTCTCTTTAAATTCTAGATATAAACATCAATGCTATTCCAATTTTAAATGGCTACTTTGTGTTGCAGTCTTATATTAAACTTTTATTGGTAAAACACTTATTATTTCAAAAAATAAAGACTAAATTTTATGTTATGACATGTTATTAAAACCTTTGTTTTGTTAAAGTAGTATACTATCCTTTTATAAACTATTTCACTCAAGATTTAAAAACAAATATTAAATTTTCCCTAGTCAGGTATCTCAGTTAGTTGGAGCATTGTTCTGATATGCCAAGGTTATGGGTTCGATACCCAGTCAGGACACATACAAGAATAAACCAATAAATGCATGAATAAGTCAAACAACAAATTGATGTCTCTCTCTTTCAAATTGATAAATACAAATTAAAAAGAATAAAAAGAAATATCAATTTTAAGAATTTGATTATTTTAATTGTGGCTACATGAATCTGTACTAGTGTTAAAATTCACAGAACTGGATACTAAGCCAATTTAACTGTATCACAATTTTTAAATAATAAAAAAAAAGTTGAATAGGGTTAGAACTAAACAAATAGGTATAATAATAATAATTTATAGTTATACTGTACATTGACAAAATTTGCTAATATTCATTATCTTGGCCCAGCCTTATTATGAAACTATTACAGATGCAACAAATGATTTAGAAATAATACAGGGCTGGACAAAAGTAGGTTTGCAGTTATAATACAAATAAATAATAAATAGTAATACAGAAATAAAATTTGTTTTGTGTATTCACAATTGTAAACCTAGTTTTGCCCACCACTGTATATATTACATGCTGTTGGAGTTGAGACCTCAAACAAGTTCAATGGTTTGCAGTGATAATAGATGTATTATATAAAACAGGTTATATAAGATCTCCAGAATCCCGTTTCTATTGCTTGAGATTTTTTTTTACAAAAATAGCAAATACTGTATAAATTCTAATATATCTTAATTTACAAATCACTTTCCACCACTATAAAAACAAACCAAAACGACTTTATTACATCACTAAAAAAATAACTGATATTCCAAAGAGAAATATTTTATTTGATAAAATTGGTGGGAATGACCATTCATAAATGGACAGAAATAGGAGTATAAATTAATAGGATAAGGTAACAATATTTGTGAAAGAGTTTTACAAAATAAAGAGCTATATAAATTTAATGTATTAAATTTGTTCCCCCAAAATACTGGGCTTCCTAGATCTTAGATATCCTCTATAATCTCATAAAAGATCCCAAGCTTTTCTTCTAGAATTTAAGAGATCTCAAAATGTCACCAGCTGGGACTTCTTAACAGAGTGAATATAACAAATAATAGTGCAGCATTTCACTACCCATACAAATCACATTTGACTGAAGAAAAGTCATAGTGACTTTTGTTAAAATGTCATTTGCAAAACCTAGGACAAAAATGCTAAGATCTTTTAGCAACCTGATTGACTATTCAAGGGCCCATGTAAGATTTTCGAAAGGCAGAAGCTTGTTTGAATTTATGAACTACCTTATAAAGAACAGATTATATTTTTAAAACAGAATATATTAAAATTATATAAGTTTATATAAGATCATAATTTATATAAGCATATTTATGATATTTAGCTCTCTATTTTCTTTATTACCCACCATAAATATTAAGTTAACTGGCATGAAGTGCTGGGTTGGAGTTGTGCTTCTTTGAAGAGGTGTAGGAAGCTCTTGGAAGCAACCTAGAAGCAACTGCCATCTCCAGAAAGAAACCTAGTCTGCTCAGAAACAACCCCTGCATCATTCATGTGGAAGAACTTTAGATGTAATCATCCAAGGGTCCCTAAAGAATAAGGCACTTGTAACTGGGCAGAAAAAGGTCAATCCACTTCTCAGAAGAGGGTTGTGCCTGATGAAAATATCCCATCTCCTGGTGTAGAGAGGGGACCAAATAAGGACTAGTTTCACAAGCCCCTCCCAGTACTCTCCTAGGATCCCGGGAAGGCTTCCAATAACAATCAGAGAATACTGCTGTGATCCACTCACTTTGGATAAGTCTAGATCAGCGATTTTCAACCTTTTTCATCTCATAGCACACATAAATTAATTATTAAAATTCTGCAGCACATTAAAAAATACATTTTGTGCTGATCTAACCAAAAAAAATAGGTATAATTTTATTCATTCACACCAGATGACTATTGTTGTATGAGCTGTCATTTTTTTATTTGACAATCTAAGGCAAAAGAGGTCAGTGCCCCTGACTAAATAGTCAGGTATTGCATGTTTTAAAAATTCTTGTGTCCCACCAGTGTGTCTGCTGTGACACACCAGTTGAAGATGGCTGGTCTAGGTGAAGAAATAATAATAAGCAAAATTTTAAATTCTACAGTAATTTTAAACCATTATTACTACAATGGAAGCCAAATAACTGAAAAATATGCCTGGATATATTTCCTTCCTAGAAATGGTGTGCAAGTCCTGGGTGAACCTTCCAGACTAGCTAGATGGCCCACTTAATTTTTCACTGGGCTGCAGAAACTAGTTAGAGATATTTATTTGGTGAATTTAAGGTTAGCTCATGTAACAATTCAATAGACAACACAATAACAATAGACAACACAATAACAACTCATGTATACTGCAACTGATTTGTTTCAAAAACCTTTCACAAAAGAAAATAAAACTTTTACAACAACCTCAGGACAACCCTGAGATAAGCAGATACTGTTACTTCGCTTTACAGATGACTTTTTAGGAGGCCCAGAGAGGATAAAAGACTTGCACTAGCTCATCTAGTAAAAGAGAGGCACAGCAGGGCTGAAAAGCTGGACTCCCTGATATAGTCCATATATCCATGGAGAACAGGAATCAATCAGATTTGCACTTATGTCTAGCTGTTATTTACTAGGTGTGTTAACCTTGAGCAAGTTACTTTACAAATCTTAAACCCAGTTCCCATCTGTAAAATGGAGCTAATAATCCCTACTACCTTTCTTTTAAAAGAAGTGAGATGCTGTGTACACTTCACGTAGTCCCTGGCTATTTCTGAGTCCTACTCCAGGCTTATCTTCATAAGTATTAATGAATTCTTTCCAAGTCTTAATTTCTCTTTTCATAAATGAAAAACTTTTCAAACCAACTTGAAAACATTGTTGACTATTTTTTAAAGAATGCTGTGCCATACTATTGCCTAGCTAACAAGTTTACACATTTATATTTGTGCTTCGTTTGCTATTTGCAGATTAATCTGTGTATAGAAAATCAGTAATTTCCATGATACAAAAAAAGTCACAAAACCTTCAGGCTCATAGTTATAAAAGTCCTCCTTTTCCCTAACAGTGTGTAAACAGCCACCATGGGCAGACGTGGTCTCAGGAGGCATGCATCCCCTATGGTTTGTAATAGCAGAACAAGCAAACAAGCACTTGACTATTTCAGGTACTAATTTTTCAATAACTTTACGTTGAAACTTGAAGTTTTGCCTAATAACATTCTTTTAAATTTGATTTTTTTTAAAAGTTATGTCCTTTTATAATTAAAGAAAACACTACATTAATGTCTTATCCTCCAGAGAAGTTAGAAAAACAAAAAGAAAGCTTTTCTAAAAATTCAAATACCAGGTGCTGTGTGCTACTGGCACCTGCACTTCCTGTGGATATATTGTGGGGGCAGAGACATCTCTAGTTAGCTAATGGAAATCTCATGTCCAAAAAAGGAAACATTTGAACTTTCCAGTAGGACCGCTGATAGTACAAACTATTACATTACATATTGAGGGGAATAATGATAAGGTAATATGATCAAAGGCCTCAATGACAAATCAATATACTCACCCAGGAGCAACCATGGCTTAATAATGCCAACTTGCAGGTCCAAGCTAAGATCCTGCACATAACCACAAGCACCCCCACCGCTCGGCTCTACTTCTTCCAAAACATGAATTCTGGCATCTTTCCATGTTTCTATTATTTTCTTTCCAGTAAGCGTTGTCACCCTGGTGCATTGCTTCCTGAGATTATTCCGGGAGAATGCTTTAATTTCCTGGTTAAGGGAGTGCATTACATGAGCAGTGACTAGGAACAAACACAAGCAATTCCAGCCAGCACAGAAAAGGGGTGAACTGCCCGTCCCTTGACGCTCTGGTAACAAATGGAGACTCAGCGGCGCACCTCCCTCCGGTAACAATAGCAAACACCAACACCCGAAAGACAGGCTTCCGGCTCGCTTTTTCCCAGCGCCCAATGTAAGACAAATTCTGATTGGCCCTTGAGAAACAGGCGCCGATTGGACGCCCTTTGGTCAACGGAAAACCTGCGTTTTACCTGTAGGTTTAAGGAATGGACCAGATTGTTTTCTTACTGGTGCTGTGTTAATCTAGATTTGTGAGACTTAACTGGAGAGAGGGCAGGTATTTCCGAACTTTTCAAAAGCGGTGATTTTCAGTGTTTGACTTGTGGTAGTCAACGAGGTGATCTGGGCTGACCTGGGTATTGAGCTTGTTTTATTCAGGAAGACGGCTTAGTCACAGACCAAACCTTCCTGCTTCCCAGAGCCGTCCTGCCTGCCTGCTTTTAGGTTAATCCAAGGGGTCTACAGCAGACAAACTTATTTCCCACTTTCTGCCCTTCACACCTTCCCTTTCTGCTGTTACTGCTCACAGGAACGTTTTGTGCATTTGTGAAATAACAATTTACATAAAATCTGCAAAGATATTTTAAGTTTTTAAATTGTTTCTGTATGCAGATTGACAAGATTTTAAAACATTTTTCTGACTTCCTACATTTTCACTATCTGTAAAACTGCTGAAGAAGCCTGCTATGCAGTAAATATATACCCACACTATAAGAAGCATTACAGCAAGTCCTTCCACAGGGATTCCAAAAATCAAGCGTGCATACATGCAAATTTACAAAACACCAATTATAGAAGGATGATTCTGATTATAAAAGGGTGATTTTTTTCTGCAAAAGAAATCACAAGTTTCCTTTGCAATTTTCCTTTCCCCACATTGTGTTTAATGAAAACATTCTCCAACACCAAATATTAAAATTTTTGTTGGGTTGAAACTGATGTAAAATTAAAATAAACCAAATTTCTCCCTATTGAAAAGAGTGATATTTAAGCCCAGGCTATCTACAGGGCACTGTAAAATAATCAATTGAAACATTTATTTGCATCATTTAAACAATCACAGGTTCATCAAAAACAACTTTAACCACAAATTATTCCATGTATTTATTATAAATGAAAAAATAACTACCAACTACTGAGCACTTAAATGCTAGGTACTGTGCTTATAAGGAATTTTCAGGTTGTCAATTACCCATCTGGTGCTTACTGATGCTTTATAGACATTATCCCATTAGATCTCATACAAAGCCTATTATGTATATGGTAGAATAATCATCCACATTTTACATATGAAAAATTCAGATGCAGAGAGATCAAATAACAGATCCTACATTTTCCAGCTCATAGTTTATAACCACAAATAACACCTAGGTTTGTTTCAGTCCCGTACCTTAGTTCTTACTTATTATGGAATACTATTCTGCTCCCAAAATAATTGTAGTTAACAAATATTTATTGAATACCTACTATGTTATAGTTACTTGGGATATGGCAGTGAATAAAAACAAAGTTTTGTCTTTTGTGGAGCTTAGATCCAAATGGAGGGAGTGGATATATGTATATTTTTTATATATATATATTCTGTACATTATAGAAAAGATCTCTGCTGGATATATAAGTTTTGTCGTGATCAGCTAAAAGCTGCAATTTAAAACCTCAAGACTGAATGAGATGATCTAGTACTGAAGGTTGATGGAGAAGCCTGATGTGCGCCCTCATTTAGGGGTGAGGAAGATGAGGAGGATCCAGATAGGGAAACTGAGAAGGAGAGGTCCAGGAGATAGAAAAGAGAGGTCTGAGAGTACCAATAAAGTGTTTCAAGGAGGGCAACATGATTACCTGTATCATATGCTTCTGACAGTGTTGAGTAAGATGAAAACTGAGCACTAATACTGTATTTAAAGTCCTCCCCAGTGAGAAGTGATTCTATGTCCCAGCATTATGCAAATATTATCTGATTTAATTCTCATGACAATGCAATGAGGGAGGTAATATCTTCTGTATTTTTAAAGAGGACATTTTATTCTAAACTTAAGGACCTGGTTTCTGGTCACAGAGTTTGCATTTGTTTGTTAAGTTCCAATAACAAGGATAGTTGAATAGAGTTCCTCTTACTCACAAGCATGTTCTTTGCACCACATCACTCTATACCAGATGGGTAGAATTGTTATTGCACATGGATAGATGCAGTCCTTGCTGATAATACTGTAATACTAACATCCAGCAGTAAGTACCATTAGGTATTAATACACAGATTCTATTCACTGACTATCCAACTCAACTCTTCATTTTACAGAAGAGAAACCATGGTCCAGAAAAGTAAATTGATTTGCTTGATGTCACATCACTTGGGACATATAGTGAAGTAGAACACATGCTAAATATTGAATCAAGAGACTGGGTTTCTTGTTCTACTTCACTATCTGGTTTTTAAAATGTCCTTTAAGGGCAAAACTTCATTATACATATCTAACCAGGATGCAGAGGCGTTGGAAGATGAGTCTCCCCCTTCTCCCCTCTCGTCTGGAAACCTAACAAACGAGAAAGAAGAGGCAAAGTTTATGAGACCCAGGCCAGATTGAGAAGGCACCATTCCATCCACAGAGGAGGCACTGCCTTTGCTGGGACAAGACTGATAAAGGGTTGTCCTGAAAGAGGGGACACATCCTTACAAGGGCTAAGGGGCCCTAGATCTGAGGAAAAGGGGGAGTGTGAAGTGAACACATCCTAGAATATGTTCCCATGCCACCCCCACAAATTTTTCTCTTCTAACAGATTTGGAGTGTCTATGATAAGTGTTATGCTAGTCATTTTCCAAGTATCACCTCTAAATCCTCACAAAAACCTCACTTTTAGGTAAACTAATTGAAATGCAAAAAGCTAGTAAACTGTGGTTTCCCTATTCTACCTCAGCTCAGTTGGATCCCAATGCCCACTTTCATCCCACTATATTACACAATCTGACATATTACATAAGAAGATAATTATGGGAGTGTGTAATCTTCATTAATTCAGACAAGGGTAGAAAAATAAATAATCAAAAATATACTTTACATTAAAATTTTTGGCTTGAGTTAACAGCCTCAATTCTGCACTTCACTGAGAACACGCAGACACAGCCTGAAATAAATACAGAAAAAAATACCAACTTCTTGCATGATTATGGCACCACTCCTTTGTGAACTTTTTAAAGACACTTTCAAAAAAATTAGTTCAATTAAAGCAATCTGAGTTCAAGTTTTCTTTATGAATAGAGTACTTCATATAAATTTGTTACAAGAACATTTTGATGACACAACATTTTTTGCTTTTGCATGCATGGTTATAGCAATAATATATACAAAAAGAAGTGATAAAAACAGAAGCAGAAACTTTCTATATTTCCTCCTAAATATTAATTATTGCATGGTGATATTTGAGGATCTCACAAAGCCCAGAACAAGTGAGATGTTTTCAAACCCTGGAGAAAGAGAACTTAGGGTATAATTCAGAAATTTAGAGTTCAATCCTTTATAATATACATTTACAAAAAAATAAGTAGGCTCCACATATTTGTCTAAGTCTTTTTCATCTTTTCTACCTCTCCTCAAAAAACAAAACCATTTTTGTTTTAATTGTTGAAATTAGTGAAATACTAGATAGGTGGGTTACCTTTAGGAAATACATCAACCAACAAGCATCTATGGAGTATCTGCAATGAACTTCATACTCCATCAAATGCTGTAAAGTTACCCCCCAAATGGTATTTTATTGAATTTAAGATAAGATACACCATTATTTTATGAACCACCAAGAAAGAATACTGCCCATTAATAATGTTGAAAGTGTGCATTTCATAATTAATACAATTCTTCTTTTAAAGATTTTATTTATTTATTTTTAGAAAGTGTGGTGGATACCGGCCAGCAGTATCCATCCCTGCTACGGATGCTCATCGAAACATGAGAAAAATATACACAGAGACAACCGGGTCCTGTGGGGAAATAGGGACGAAATGGCCACTCTCTTTAGTAGAGATCGCCCCATCTTTCCACCCAAGCAGGTTTTTATCAAGAATACAGACACAGTTTGTGGATTCACAGTCTGGCAGGAAAGATCAAAAGGAATAGGTAATTTTCAAAGGGACAGACAGAAGTCCTGCTGGGATTCTGGGCAAAGTCTGGAGTTTTATCATTTGAAAGGACTACAGGGCCCAAAAGGCTAGTTTTGGTTTCCTGTCTGTGTCTTCATATTCTAATTTAATAACATCCTCCAGCAAACAGATCTCACAGGATCTTGCATATTCTATGTCCCAGGCCTGATTACCCCAGGGGTCCACCGACTCTGGTCTGGACTGCACTGCCCCTGCTATTTCCACAGGCCTGAGTCAGGCAGAGGAGACAAAGGCAGCCAGGAGACTTGAATTTCTCACATCTAAGAACAAGGACTCAGGCTTTGACAAAGCTGAGGGGGCAGGGGTTGATGTCGATCACCCTTTCATTTCCACAGTCCCGAATCTCTTCCCTGAGGCCTCCTCGTGATCATGCCTGTCTTAAGTGATTTCCCCCACCCTCACCATAGGAAATCTTACCTGTCATGGCTAACTGATCAAGCTTAGGAGGCCAGGCACAGAACAGGCAGTGTTCATGCCAGGGAAATAAGTTTTGTCTCCTTAGTGGCTCCTGGTTCAGAGGTCTCTCACTCAGCCTAAGTCGCAGGAGTTACAGCTTTCTGAGACCAGGCAGGGTGGACCCCAACAAGAAAGAGGGAGAAGGAGGGAGAAAAAGAGAGAAAACATCGATGTGAAAGAGAAACATCTGTAGGTTGCTTCTCTTACAGTGCCCCTGACTAGGGACCAAACCCAGGCATGTGCCCTGACCAGAAATTAAATCAGTGACCTTTCACTTTGTGGGATGACGCTCCACCCAACTGAGTCACACCAGTCAGGGCAGGGATTAATAAAATTCAACAACTAAAAATGGATTCTGATTTATTATTATTATTCTTCCATTTGGGGGCTGATTATTCCATTTGGGAGGAGGGAAATCAACCAAGAAAAAAATAAATCACAGAATAAGAAAAATGATATTAACAAA